TCAAACTGCGTATCGTATGCTGCAGATCACTCATATAGCCACTAAAACTGTCGAAAATCAATTATTTTCAAGAACATTTTAAACCTAACTGCAAAATATCAAATTATGGGTTAAAACAGGCTGTAACCCCCAAATTTGTTTTACATGGTCTAGATGCACAAAGCATTTTGATTGGTCTATCTCCGTCGGAGACGTCTCCGGATAGATACTGCGTGTCAAGAAACTTTCCTCACAGGAAATACCGGACCAAACTTTGACACATCGTCTGAAAGGTTTACGGCGCGGGCGGGGGGTCGTCTAAACCTACGGTCTCTCGGAAAGAGTTGTGGGTTTACAATTGCTGTGTCAGCACCCAAATCATGATTAACATAACAATGAGTACAGAGAATTTCGTTAGCATGAAGCAAATGTCACAGTTTTCTTCCTCATCTATTTCCCAAAGCCATCACGCATTCCTTTGTTCGGAAGGAAAAAAATCTTACACAACTGAAAGCGAAAATTGAACTCTTCATTTCAGTGTCATTGATTTTTTCTAATATTCTTTTTCTGTTTTCCCACCGTGTATATAGATTATTTATTTTTGTTTTGGACAGGAAGAACTCGAGAAATAAAGTAAATTTTCTAACAATATTGCAGACATCTGAACAGCGCCAAAACGAAAAGATAATACTTTAATTTTCGGAAAACCTTCAGTGGCTGTAAGAGAATGGGAACCTCACCTCTGCGATATGGAGATATTCATAGAGTTTAAATGCTGCACATTTATTACTTTGATAAAATATTAATCTTAAACCGAGAAAAAAAAAGCTAACAACAGAGCAAAACATTACATCAGATTCTCTAAAACCTTATACAGGAATTTATTCCCATATTCGAAAAGTTTTAGAATAGACACTATACTATAATTATAAGAAAGTATTTTACCATTAGAAAGAAAAAGAGAAAACACGTTCTGACACGTTTTGGATTGGACGAGGCGTAAAAAATATGCGATCTGTCAATTTGCATCTACTCTGGGTGTCAAATTACTTCTCTCAGAAAAAAATGTCTCGCCGAATGCATTCTCTCGTATAAACACACCGATTCGATGGGAAAATTGTCAGACAAGTTTGTTTTGTTTTGTTTTTTCCCCCATATACCATCAATCTTTATATTCTGTTTTATTGTCTCTTCAGCAATCCTTTTTTTTTGGTTTACTTCTGCGAGTGCAGATGGGAAGAAAGAGTAGCTTTTAGTTCATATCGTTGCCTAGTCAATCAAACGATATAATGTAACACACACACAATAAAGGAAAATCAGTAAATGCACACGAAAAAAGGACGAAAAAAAAGAAAGAAAGAAAGAAAGAAAGAATGGAAATGAAAGAAGAAAAAATATAAGTAAATTAATCCACAGTTCGTGCAGTTCACACGAAGGAAACAACAAACATACACCAACACCTAGGTAAAGCAATGCCGACGGAAATGAATAATAACAGTAATTATAATGTGATCTTTATGGAAGATGAAACTATTAAAAATGTAATCCTATTTGTCATAACTCTAAGGTTTTCTGCAACATATTGCTGTAATCGATCTACTTCGGATCCGATGGAGATGGTCATGGATTGTATAGTATTCCTAGAAAGGAGTAACCCCAACCTTCTCTCTGCAATCGTTACTACTTGTGATTAAAGACAAACATCAGCAGAATGGATTTAGTCACAGAAAAGTTTTCAACTGTCTTCACGCGCCCATGGATACAATTTAGATCAATTGAGAGGCGAATTCTAACCTTGCCAGTCAAGGCCAACCTGGGTTGAGAGGAATATAATGCCCCAAGAGATAGACCAAAATACTTGATAAAAAGTTCTTCACTTGTGAACTGCTATTTCCTGGGTGCCTTGATAGTCGAAGCAGACTTTGTGCTGTTGAAGCTACAGAGGTGAGCAGAGTAAGCCTGATTCTCTGTTTGGACTTCTCTGTTGACACCCACCCCTTGGCGCTCATATGACCTTAAGCAGCTGCGAGCGCCGTAAAGCCCCCTAATATAAACAAAAAACAAAAAACAAAAAACAATTCGCTTCACTAGAATTACCAAGTCCCGTCTGTTCAGTACCTCGTTTTGAAACATTGGAAGTTATTTGGAGTTTCAAATGATGGTAAAATATTTTCGAAAGCAGTTCTTGGAATATTATCTAAATAACGATTTTGATAGAGCTGATAGAACATTTGGTTTCTAACTTTCGGATTTCACGGTCTTAGGAACTCAAAACGGCCAAAATTGCCAAAACAGAAGTCTGTAAGTCTAAGGTAGCGAACTGATGAGGTAAAAGAGAACAATGCAAATCAAATTCGTCATACTGACCAGCACGTCATGTTAGCACACGTAATTCACATAGCCTTTAAAAACGAGTGCAAGAATGTTATGTAAGGGAAAGTTATTGATCACATCGTTTAAAAAACGTATCACGTTGAATGTAACCCCCCCCCCAAAAAAA